GTTATCATCATCATCAAGTTAATTCTCACGTATGACGACGTTTTCCGGAGTTTTCTAGGTAGAGAATGCACAAAAATGGTTTTCCATTCCCGTATTTTGGGGGGGGGTTGCCCTGGGACTGTTCAAGGATACCCCGGCGGAGGCGGAGTGGGAGAATCGAACATCCAAACCTTTGACACTGCAGACAGAGATCTAAACCACTGAGCCATCCAGCAGTTTTATAGAGCTGGCCCACGGCCACCCAGGCTGGCTCTTCTCCCAGGAGACCCCGCAGGGGAATCGAACTCCCAACCCTTTGGCACTCCAGCCCGAGATCTAAACCACCGAGCGATCTAGCCAGCAAGCATGATATAGAACTACCAAATAATGTTGCTAGTGTTTAAAAACAGGGATCCAAAAATGGGAAAATGACATAAAGCTCACAAAATCGGTAAATTTCAACATATATAAGATGTTTAATAGGTGGCAGATGACTGGGGAAAATTGGTCAAAGATTTATACAGAGGTGTCAAATGTTTGTTGGAAGTGTGAAGCACAAGAGGGAAGCTTTCACCATATGTGGTGGACTTGTAGAGTCACGAAACAGTATTGGATAGCAAGACATACAAAAAATACTGTGTTCCACTAACCCCAGAATGTTTTTTACTGACCTTTGTACCAGAAAATATAGATACTGTAAGACAAAGAACTACCTAGTTATATATATAATCACGGCAGCCAGAATTCTTTATGCGAAGAACTGGAAGAAATCGGAGATACCAAAACAAGAGGAACTCATTGAGAAGATCTGGAAAGCGGCAGAAATGGATATTCTATCAGAAGTGTTGAAAGACTGTCCAATACAAAAGGCAACTGGACGATGGGATTTATTATACAAACGGCTCGAGTCACCAGATAGTGCTGGAAGAACATAGAATTAAACTAAGATGTAACTGTAAGTTGAAACCTGTAGGGCAATAAAATGGCAGAAAGGCGGAAAGTCGACTTGATATGGCAAGGTGAACAAACAGATTGGATGACAGCACATATTGTGTTCTCCTTTCCCCATGTCTCCCTCTACCTTTTGTGCTCCTTACCTTATCCCTAGTTTAAAAACAAACACAAAACAAACAACCCAGGGACCCAAAGGTGAATTTCCAGGGCTGCCATGCATTAAAGTCTGCTTGTTGTTGTTTAGTCGTTTAGTCGTGTCCGACTCTTCGTGACC